GGAGGAGAATTCCAAGTTTGGTGGTTTGATATTTTGGTTTGGGCTTAGGTTTGTGTCTATGTGGGTGGTGCTATGAGCAGGGGTTGTAGGAGGATGGAGGATTGGGCTAATGTTTTCACTGTGGGCCTCTGTTTGGACGGATGGTTGATGTGGTGTATTTGGTTTTGGGTTATATATGTGACATATTGGGTTATTCTGGGACGTGGATATGTCATAATTTGAAGCAAAAATAGGACATTTTATTTAATCCTTCTTTTCATGCAATAGGAATCATATTTTCTTGAAAAATCACATTACGAGACACAAAAATTTCTTTAGTCTTGAAATCAAGTATCACGTATTCCTTTGTGCCATTTTGAAATCCCAAAAAAACACCTTGGCGTGACCTAGCATCAAATTTTTGGTGGATATTGGTATAAGCATAACATCAACATCCAAAAATTTTATGCATAGAAAAATCTGGCCTTTGTTTATATAACAGTTCAAAAGGGGTTGAATTATTAACAACTGGAGATGGAACACCGTTTATTAAATAAACTGCATGTTTAATGACATAGGACCAATAATTTTTGGGAATTTGAGATTGAAACATAAGTACACATGCAACATTAAGAATATGTTGATATATGCGTTCAACACGACCATTTTGTTAGGGTATGTAAACTATAAACACGACTACTATGATGAATTATTCCTTTAAAGGAAAATAAATCTTTGAGAAAAAATTTGAATCATTATAAAAGCAAAAGTATTTGATCTTTGTTTCAAATTGAGTTTTAACAAGGACAATGAAATTTTGAATATTTATTTTGACTTCAAATTTAGATTTCATTAAAACAACCTAAGTATATCTATTATAGTCATCTAAGATTGTTAGAAAATACTTATGACCATGAATGAATGTTTTTGAAAAAGGTCCCCAAATATCAAGATGAACAAAATCAAATATTTTGGAAGCTCTACTTATGCTTAAAGAACATGATAATTTTCTTTGTTTGGCAAAGTGACAAATGTCACAATTTTCATTAACATGTTTAGAAATGAAAGAAAAATTCTCATGTAAAATATTGAGACATTTGCCAAATAGATGTCGTAATCTATAATGCCAAAGATTGGTAGGGGTAACTAAGGATGTGGTAGTGTTATTGGTGAAGGATGTGTTGGTAGTGGATGAACAAGCTTCTTTGTTGATTTCCAAACTCCTTACTTCAATTTAGCCAAACCAATTGTCCTTGACGTGCTCATTTCCTAAATTTTACAAGTTTTTTTTTTTAGAAAGTTAGTTCATAATTTAGAGACAAAGTTAATTTTGATATAGAAAAAAAATTGAAGTGAAAGCTTAGAACATCTAAGATATTGTGGAGGACAAAAAGTGGAGAGAATCTCACAGATCCTGAAAAATTAGCTGTGATATAGGAACCATTAGGGAGATTAATATTAACAAGTTTTATTTTTGAATAATTCTCAAAATAATGTAATGAGGATGCAATATGGTTAGTTTCCCCTAAATCTATGATTTAGTGAGCAACGTGTGAAGTAGTCATAGGAGTGGTGTGAGAATTATTATTGCTAATGTTAAAAACATGAGAGGTGGTGCAACAAGAAAAATGAATACCAAAGGGGTCAGAGTTTTGACAAAGATTGGCTTGTTTAATGGACTGGCCACACCAGTAGAAGCAGAATTAGGCCTAATAAGATCCATCAGCTACCAGTATTGGGTCTGGGTTAAGTGAACCCCCAGAGTTGTGAGAAGACCCTCCTTGAGAAACATTAGGCACCGCAGCAGCATTGGACACAGCTTCAATGGTGCCTCCCTGCGCAGCAATGCTGTTGACGGATGAGAAGGCGTCGCAGTGGTGGAAACGCAACCTCCTAGGATATCAAGGATGGGCAACTGGGTACCTGTACTTATTGTAGCATACATTGATGGTGTGACCAGTCTTATTGTAGTAGATGCAGCGTTTGCGAGCTTGTCCGCCGCCAAGAGGGCCACTGCCAAGAGTGCCACTGATGGTCCTTTTACCAGAAAAACTAGCAGAAGAGTGTTGTTATTCTTGTTGGATTACCATGGAAAAAACACAGTTCACAGAAGGAATAGGATCCATGAGTAGAATCTGAGACTGCACAACACTGAACTGGTCATCAAGACCTTTTAGGAAGCGTATTATAAAATCTTGTTGATGATAACTCTTTGCAGAGCAAGTACACATGATTAAGGAACAGTAGTTATCGAGTTCCTCCCAAAGAGACTTAAGAGCTATGAAGTAATCTGAAACAAATCGAGTTCCTTGATTTAACCCATAAATTTCCTCTTAGAGCTTTGCAATTCGAAGCAAATCATATTGGAAAAAGCATTTTTTGAGGTAGGAGACAATGAGTTTAAGAGCCAAGACATGATTAGAGTGTTGCAACATTCCCAGGCATGGTGCAAAGGATCTGTGGCAGTAGGGACAAAGATTGAACCATTCAAGAATTCCATTTTGTTTTTGGATATTAAGGCCATGCAAATGGCTTTGGACCAAGGATGATAATTAGAGCCAACAAGGACAACTGAGACAGAGATTGAATTTGGGCTTTCACTGGGGCGAATGTGGTAGGGACTAGAGGGGTTGAGATTGGGGTCGTTGGTTTTGGGATCTAGTTCATTGATTTTGGGATCTAATTCTGATATTAAAAAGAACAAAGCGAATTTGCAGAGTTCTAAAGGGAGCTCTGATACCATAAAAGGGAAAAAGAATGTTGAATGCAAGGAATCAGAGACAATGATTGAAGAATGAATCATATATTCTATTAATAAACAAAGCATATGATATATATATATATATATATATATATATATATATATGATGGCAAGATTTTCTTACACTGGTATAAGTCTAAAAACTCTTATACTCAGTTTGAGCCTTTTATTTAACTTAAATATAACGGGTATAATTTATCATTTCACTGACCGTTAGATTTAAGTTAAATAAAAGGCTCAGATTGAGTGTAAGAGTTAAAAAAAAGAAGTCTCCATTGATAAAAATAAAAAGGTACAAAAGAAAAATAATAAATTACAGCTTATAGACTTTCTAGAATAACCTAGAGAATTTTATTAGATATTTATAGCAGAGCAAATATTAACAATAGAGTAATATTGAACTATTTTGTATTCTCAATCATGGCTAAATTGGATTCAATATTGGGCTGTTCTGTTAGTTTTAGTCAAAGGAGACCATTCTTCATTCTTGAATATTTTCATAGTTGAACTGCAATATCTCCTGTTTTGGTAACTTCATCATGAACCCTTTTGCTCAGTGTTAACTTGAATGGGAATATGGCTATTACCCAGGAATAGGAATCTCTCCCTACCAAATATATACGACACAAGGGACAAAATCTACACATCGATGATAAACCTATATATAAGACCCAATAGAACATGCACATATGAACATCATTTAATAACAAGATGCCAACAGTATTAATCACTTTATTTTACTTAAGTTAACAATACGCTTTAAATAATTTTAATATCCAATTATTTTGGATAAATTATAATTTGAACTATACTACACCACATGAAAAATTTAACACAGCTCTCAACACTTAAAACCACCCAGATATTTTTCTATGCAAAAGTTATTCAATCCACTAGTGTAGACCACCTCCACTGGACCACAAATGACAGTAACGAAGTACTATTTATTTTCAACCATAAACAAATATGGCCGGAAAAAAAAATCAGTGGAATATCATTTTAAATGAACAAGATTCTAAGCAGAAAACGAGATATGCATGGGGCGCGATTTTTCCAGGAACGTACAAGAAATAGGAAGATTCCACTGAGCAATCATCGTCCCTTCGGTAATTGTTTAATGTAGAAACTTCTTTCACGAGACTTTGTGTACCCTTATTTCCCTTATTCCTTAGTTCTAAACATAGCTTAACACATAAATTTGTATGCTTTTAAGAAAAACTAAAGAGACTGCAGTTCATGATCCAACCGTTGAATTTAGTGAATTGCAGTAAGAAATAAACTAATTATGCAATAAAAATATTTAAGGGACAAGTTCTTATGCAGTGTTAACAAATCCGCAGATCCGTTAATTTCTAGATGCGTATATTATAGTTTTATTAAGTTCATCTACTGAGTAGCCTAGGATGAGTAGACTTTTTCAGCTAACGCACCTACGGCATTCTTCTTTACAAAGATAGAAGCAGCTTATGAGCAACAAAAATTCAACAATGACATCTATGACACTATTTTTCACACATTTTGAACTCTAATTACTTTTTAGAAGTAAAAAGAAAATTCTCAAGACACTGTCAATAAACTATAAAATTAGTCTTTTTCGAGTATGTGTCGGACATTTTTTTAATCAATCTCTAACTTTGCTTTAGTTATCTTTTGTACAAAATGACTATGAAAAAAATGAAAAAGGATTAAAATAACCTTTTACAAAATCAAAGACTATTGAAAGATTTTTAAAATATTATAAACTAATATGTTCAACCAAATTAATTTAGGACTTTATTCAAACTAAAAGCTCTGTAATTATTTAGCATTGTTTAGGATGTAGGACACTTCATCAATCTCTTAACTAAATTGACAACCCCGGTCCCCCAAGGTGCTCGAAACTGGGAGCATGGACACAAAATAGATCGCGAGATCCCACTATCACATGAAATAAGCACAGGAATTGGAGAACCTTTATGCTGTGTGGGGCAACGAGCATTTCATATAGTCCTGTTGAGATATCAAGCCTCACCGTTGGTGTACCGACAACAAATCAAAGATTGTATAAATAAGAGTTTATTCTTCTAAAATCGCCTAAGGTATTTTAGACAAGGGGGCCACTTAAGTCTAAGTCCATTCACTTCGCTCTTTGACTACTGCAACTGTCATAAAACATTAATGGAAGGAGTAAATTAGGTCACTTATTCACCCCATAGAAACAAAAGAAAACTGTGTCTGTGTGCTGCCTGACATGAGACACAAACACACTGCCAACTCTTAAATCCAACTCGATAATTAGATAAATCTTCCCGAAAGAAGAGCTAGAAATCATTCGTGGTATAGTCTACATTTACCATTATTAACAATTGAGAATTACTTAGTTCTTTCATCAGTTACAGTAACTGCAAACATAAAAAGGGCCAATAAACAAGAATATCAGGCAATACCAAGCAAACAAGAACATGACAGGGACCTTTCCATGGGCAAGGAACATAAGGATCAAATTGGTCACTTATTTCCTTGCCTTCTCTAATTCAAGGTCCTCTCCTTTAACTTCTTTCTCATTCTCCCACCAAAGAGGAAGGATATCAGTGATAAACATCTCTGTGAATCTGTGTCTGTCTAGATGTGGGCCACGAATATATGTTATCTTTCTCAAGCAACGCTTATGATGCTATCTCCATTGTTGAAGCATGGCAATCCATTTACAGCTGAATGCCTTGATGATATCTGTCTTTGACTAGATGACAAGGATAGCCCAAGAGACAGTGTTGGAGGATCAACTGCTGAACTCAAACTGACAGTGATATCGGACACCGTGGAACCTTCATGATCTGGAACAACAGGAATGGTACAGCCTTGCTTGGTTGGGCCATTCTGTTCCACATTTGCTTGTCCTAAAGCGAGTGTTTCCGTTGGATTCCCAGCTTGAACTGACATGACTCCAGAACTAACATCCTTCAGATACATGGGTATCATTGGAAGTCCGTTCATGTTGCTACTTTCAGGGGTTGCAGGGGACATGGGGTGCGAGCGAGACACATCATCTTGATGCTGGATCTGCTCTTCCTCCATCGGGATTGTTGAGACCTGACACAAAAAATTGAAGATTATCAATAAAAATTACTGAAGTTGCTATGATTACCGTGAAAATTTATTGATTATTCATTTTAAAATAGATGTTCGAAAATCCATTAAATATAAGAAGGAGCCAATATAATAGTCGATAAGTCTTCCAAGTTTCCGAAACCTGGAAACAAAACGTGATTGGAACTGGAGCAACACCCATGTTTCTCCAATCCTCCAAGTTCAAAAATAGCTAACTTATTGACCTAAAGCCTGTAATCAAGTGATTATGGTATGTTGAATTTCTCCTCAACAACCAAAGGAATTTAATTAAGACACACAAGACAAGATACATGACCAAATGGCAGAAGTTTCTCTTTGCTTTGAGAAAACATTTTTTTATTTCATTTCCTGATTTTACAAACAATCGCAAAAAATGCACATCACCTGACTTCAAAGTCTTGAACTGAACAAGAAAGAAAATTGCTTTTTTGCAATTTATTGTAAAGTCAAAAAATAAAACAAAAAATAAAAATAAAAATACTCAAGCTAAAGAGTGCCTTCCCTTTCTTTTTTTTCTCGTCTTCTTTTTTGGTTTCTTATACTTTGTTTCCCTCACACGGCAAAAGCAATTAGCAAGCATAGTATTCAGCACGATTATTGATTTGAAGACTAAGAAATAATTCAAGCTCAATTTTCAAGACCACCAACACTGATTAATATGTTGACTCTGAATGAGAATACCCAACTCCAGACTAAAAAGTAACAGTAAAATTTTGTCTAATACGTCAAGTATTTTCCACGTGAGATAAGCACAATCAAGTCAGAAACATCACAGCATCATGTTAGAACTATCTCTTTCCCAATTGAATTTTTCACAACATATAAAACTCAAAAATAATCTTGCTTAAAAAAATCACACATGTACCACTTATGTTAATTATCAATTAGTAATAACACAATAACAAGAAGGTGGATTACTGTGTCTGTGGTGATGTCAAAGAGACTGGATCTACGGCGACGGCGATTAAGGTTGCTGCGGCGGAGAAAATATTTCTGAGCATGGCTTGCAACCTGCGTTGGCGTCCGAGATTTGACATAGTTCCTTGAGATCCCTCTCCAATCACCTTTCCCCACTTTCTGCAACCCCACCAAGAATAGCTTGTGCTCTTCCTCTGTCCATGGAATCCCTGAACAAACCCCAAAAATTAACAGCACCATTAATGCAACAAATCAATAACCACATTCATATTCATATTTTATTAGCATGTTTGGAATTGCCTTTCGACATGTTTTAAAATCATGTTAACACACAAGCTACGGGTAGTAGCCTTAAGTAAACGTGGATCCGAAATGATTAAATAAAAATCCAAACACACACTATAATAAAAGAGATCACAAAACTTATCGATATTTCCCATCAATAATTGCTATTTATAAAATGCCTATTTTAATTGGAGTACAGTAATGTATCTAAATAGTAACTAACAAAAACATATATAATTTTGGCAGAGTGAGCAATCAATTATATCTAAAAACAAAAAAAAAAATTATTTATTTAAAATTATAAAGAGTGACAGAAAAATCTAGATGGTGTTGATCGGACCTCGCTTGCGCTCGCGGTCGCGCTGCTTGCCGGAGTTGTTTGGAGCGGCGTCATCAGCGGAGGCGTAGCCGGCGGCGATGGCATCTTCTTTGTTGTTATTGGAGGCGTCGCGAGGGAACTCGTACTGCGAGAGGTTGTTCATGCTCACGCTCTTCCTCATCGAGTTCACCACGACTCTCACACCGAAGAGCATGATCTCGCCGGCAGCGTCGCTGGACACGGCGGAAGAAGAGAGAGGCATTTTCCGGCGAAGCGTTGGTCGGAAAAGAAAAGCGAATTATGGTATGGGAGCGTTGGTGAAGCTACGCGTGAGCGAGTGTGATTAATATACGCGAGTCGCGAGAGCGATTAATATACGATCAATCAGGAGACAAAGATGTTTAAAATAAGCATTGAGGTGAAGTTAACATGTGATGTACTTGATACACACATAATTGAAAATTCTAAGATAAATATTCTTTTAATTGGAAATTTTTTTATATTGTATTTAAAAATGATATATATCGAACTATGAAATTAAATATATATATATATATATATATATAACTAAAAAATTGTGATTAACAATTTTTAAATAAAGTTGGTTAGTTTCATAAATTTTTCAAAATGGTTAAACAAACTTTATTTTTAGGGAAGTTTTGAATTTATATATTTTTGTTATTTTTGTCAAAATTTTATATTACACACGTATATATATATATATATATATAACCTTTTAACTACGAGTATGTATAGATGGTTTAATATATTTAATAATTATTTTATAATCGGGTTAAAGGAATAGATTATTTTTTAAGTTAAAGTCAAGCTAGCTGGCGTAGCGATAGATAATTATTAAATGGTTCAAACTCTTATTTAATATTTTATTATCAAATATAATTTCACAATAAATTCAGTAAATAATTTTTTTATTTTTATAAGATGGGAGTAAAATATTTACTTCACTAAATTAATCCAATTTTTTTAAAAATCAAGAGTACTTTTATTGTAAACAAATTATATTATTGATTAATTAAAATATACTATGTATATAAATTTTAAATTAAATATTATAAAACTCAATAATTTTTGTTGTGATAACAATCTAACGACAAAAAAGTTTACACCATGAATATATTTGTATTAAATTTTTAATATTCAATTCAATGTTATTAAAATAATATTTAAAATAAATGAGAATTTAAAGTATACAATACTAACAATGTGCAGCGTTAACATGATAACACTTATCTCTTTTCAATTTAATTTAATAAAATAAAATATATATCATTAATAATTAAAATATTAATTTTAAATTTAACAATACCTATAAAAAAATTCAGTAATTTAAACTATATTTTTACTGCCTGAATTGATAAGATACGTATTTAATTTAATAATATCCAATAGTCAGTGGGATTCCTCTTTTTCTTTTTGCAACCGTAGAGCAACTAACATTTAAAAAAAAATGAATAAAAAGATGAGTTTGTGTGTGCTGTTTCACACGTGGCAATTAGTGAACGGTTTTATTTGCTGCTATCCATTGTTTTATGCTCTTTATCGAATCCTTTATGTTCAGAATATTTCAAGGATATTTTTATTTTTTCTGTTATCATCATGAATTATTCATTATATATATAAGCAATGCATTAGGATTGATGTTTTTCTTGCAGGTGGCTATATCTTCAGAGCTATGGGCACTAATCTATTTTAATAAAATAACATTCAATTTAAGATCATGCTAATTTTAACAACCTTTTTAAATATTATTATTATTATCTGTCAATTAAAATTATATTTTTATTTTTGTAATCTATAAAAATAAGATATACAAAATTAATTAATAAATAATATTAAAAACATTTAAAGAATTATTCTAAGTTAAAATGAGTGTTACATTTTTTTAATGTGAAAGATCACATGGGACGTAAACGTAATAAAATTTTATATCATTGGATCAACCTTTCAAGTTTATTAGATCAACCTTTTTTTTGGTAAACAGAACAAAAAATATTAAATCACGTTTACATTTACTTTTTTGTTTCTTTTATATTAACTATTTTTGTGATTAATAGAAGTGTTTATAAATTGTGTTTAAATAATATTAACAATAAACATTAAAATATATGCAATTAATTGTTATATATTTATATTTACATTATATCGGCATGATTGTTATTATAATTAAATTATCAGAGATTGAGAAGTTATTGATGAGGGGCTTGCAGCTCAGTTAATCTTAACTTTTATCTAGATACAAATTTTAATGTGTCATTTATTTAAATTTGAATTAAATTTGGTAAGGATTCGATAATATATAAAATAAGACCGGTTCAGTGTAATTTATTGATATGATAAATTAATTTTAATATTTTACATAGCTAAATTATAAAATTTTAAAACATAAATTAAAAGTAAGGCGTATTTTAACATATATTTTAAGCTAGGACAATCTATTATATCTGAACCAATTCTCGATAGATAAATAATCTAATTCTTAAGATTTGAATTCATCATAATTAACTTTTAGCTTATACGTGTATGGTGGAATTTAATGGAACAGAGGAAAGTAACATGAGAAGGTATTTTATTTTATTATTTAGATTGATTAAATGATGATGAAATATAATAAAATTTACTTTATTTTATTCTATTATTTATTTTTTTTATTTTTTAATTATATCCTTATATTATATTTAAATTACACGCATCATTATTACACTCTTATCCACGAGGGTTGATTCTCATATGTCTTTATTTATTAAGCATTTTTTTTTATAAAGTCATTCGATATTTAAAAAATTATACAACTAAATAAATTAAGAAAAAAGTGTCGATATAAACAAGTGTGTATGACAAAATTTATTTTTTCATTCTCTAATTTTATTTTATTTTTCTAACTTTTAAAAACACTTTAAATAGATTTTTTTTATTACAAACATTAAGTTTGTTAATTTTTTTATTTTTTTATTATATATATTATTCTTGTATTTTTTTAATCTATTATTTATATTTTTTCTTTCATCTCGTCTTCTTTTTTATGTTTTTCTATTTATCTTTTTTCTTTCTTTTTTATTTTCTTTCTCATCCTCTTGAAAACTCTACTCAATAAAAGACAACAAAAAAGAGAAATAACACTGTCATAATTTATAAGTTATAATTCATCAATACTAATGTCAACGTAGAACATTTATATTTTTTTAATAAATTTTTATAAAATACAAGATTAATTTATCTTATTATTAAATCACTTTATATTATCTTAATAATCTATATATCAAATTTCACATAATTTAAATATTTGTAAGTATGTTATCAAAAATTTAATATTTACTTATATTAAAATAAAGTAATATAATAAAATATTTATTAAATTTATTTTTGTGAATGTTTTTATAAAATTTATCTATTTGATAGAACTTTCAAACTAATAATTTAATTGGTTAATCTCTCATTTTATTAAATATTATTAACTAATGTAAATGTTTAAATTTAATATTTTTGTTAATAAATCCTGACTATATATATATATATATATATATATATATATATATAAGTATTTAATTTTATTCATTTGAAATATGATTATTTGATATTGTAAAAAAAATAATTTTTGTTCTTTTACTTGTTTTTCGTAATTTACATTGAATAATATATTAATATTTTTAATAAAATAAAAGTGATGTATTTAAATTTAGATTTTTGTTTTTATTAATTTAAAACTAGTTTTTATATTTGAATCTAAATATAATAAAATTAAAATTTTGTTGATAATATTTAAATAATATATATATATATATACATACTTTAAATAATAGACATATTTTAAAACCAAAACCTTAAAAAATTAATTAAATAGATCAACTTAGATGCGCACAATTATATATATATATATATATATATATATATATATATATATATATTATTGTGTTAAGGGGATAGTTGGTATGCCAAAAATAGTTTATTGTATTTTATAAATAATGTTATTTATTTTATTTCTATAAAAAAATTATTTTGATTTGTATATATAAATATTTTTATTTGATAATGATTATTTTCTAAAGTTATAAAATCGTAAAGTATCAAAAGTAAATTAAAAGTACATTCTTTACATAAGGGTATTAGAAGAATTAAAAGAAAATATAGTCCATTCAGCTCCTTTCACTATTTAAACAACCAAATAAAATTTGTATTATATTTTATTTCATTTTGCTCTATTCTATTTTAAGTCCACTTCATCCAATTCTATCTCCTTCTATATTTCTAAACATAGCTTTAGACTAACTAAACCAGTGGAATAAAATAAGTTTAAAACACCTCTAATCTGAGGAGAATAGGCAAGAAGAAAATAATTCAATAAAAAAAATAAGAAAATTAGGAAATCAATATATTAATGAATTAAGAATTTTTATGAAAAATTTGAAATACAAAAATTGAGAAGGGATGTACGCAAAATTGTCTTAAATGTGTTTTGGGTTTAATTTATTTTAAAAAATTATGATATTCTAAAAATAATTAAATTTTAAAATCTCAAAAGTCAAAACTAGACATTTCATTGCTTCGTTCTAGATGGAAATGTAACAAATTGTTTTTTTTTTTTTCTGGAGAACTAATGATTTAAAAGCATACAAAATTATAGTTTATTTTATAGTTTTATTTAATATATATTTATGCATGTTTATTTTCATCAAATGTATATTTTTTTAATTAATTTTATAATATATTTTTTCTGAAGAATAATTATTTCCTAAAACGATCGTTTTCAGAAACAAGCAGCGATTTGGTCCACATCTCATAATGTGTTGGATTACAGTTTTCATAACTCTTCAATAAATAAATGGTCGCATTATGATATTTAGTCGAAAGTTGTGAGCCGATAAGGTGGGCCTTCCTGTCCTTATAATTCTCGATAGGATAATGTAAGGCGATGAGCATTTTCTTCTTTTATTGGCACTGAGTATGCGATAATAGAAACCTAAATCACCCATCATGTTGCATTCATAACGGTTAAAATCATGTTTTATTTTTTTGATAATGTTTAGGTTATTCTTTAGTTAATTTTTAAGTATGAGTTGGATTCATTCTAATTTTTAATATTTAATCGAAATTTATTGAATTTTAATATTAGGTTACATGCGAATGTTTAATTTTAGAAATTTCACACGTTAGATATTTCATTTTAGATTTGAGGGTGAAGGTTAAAATGTTTGATGTTAATATTTTTGGTTTAAATAATAAATATCTTTTATAAAATATAATTTTAGTTAAATTAGGTAGAATTATTATTAGTAGAAAAATTCTCTCTATATAATTAAATAATTTTATTAATTAAAAATATAATTAAAATATTGTTTATAAAGTTCACATATCTTTAATTAATAATTTAGAGTAAATTAGATTGATGTATTTATAATAATAAC